CGGCGATGCTGTTTCCGTCAGATTCCATTACGCCAGGCTTGGTCACACCGCGCTCCGCCGCACATCGCGAACGAGCGGGTGAATCCGGAGAGGGCAAACCGGCCGAGTTGGCTCAGGGCAACAAGTGCAACGTCTCTGGCCCGAAGGTCCTAGGGTTCGATTCCCGATGGTGGCGGATTTCCGACATTAGCTAATTAGCCGGGTCGAATTCAGTCGCTTTCCCGTAGAAGAATTCTAGGGGCCGGTTCCTCTGACAGGTGATCTCAGTACAGTGCACTACTGTGCACTAAATGCACATGAACTACACTATCATACATATTGGGAGACCAATTGCGAGTTTAGAGCTGACCCGGTTTAGGAGATGCCCCGCTAGAAGATATGCCTGGAGGGGGGAAACGCAGACGTAGAGGTGGACGCAGGATCTCAATTCCGGAGGAGGAGCACCGCATTCTTTTAAACATATGAGACTAATAACAATACCTGAAATCGTAGACTTCCGCGGCCAGAGTCATGTGCGTGATCTGGGCTGTACGGGTGTCGCCGCGTGTGTAGAGGTGCACGAGAAGAACAATAGGGATTTATTCAGAAGAGGTAGTTAGGGAAGGAATTGACGGCGCACACCTAGTTTCTGGCGTTCGGCTCTAAATACTTTTGTGAACAGCTTGCATTTGCTTTTCGATATGAATCTTGATGAAAATGAGCACGTATCTTTGAGGATTCATTAAAATCGGTGCATTTTCTTGCGAATTCCAAAAACTGGAAACTACTTTTAGATGCAATTTTAAGTAAATACAATATGTAATAATATATGTAGTAATAATGTGTATTAATGTAATTGGAACATTGAACGTATCTATATTCATACGGAAAATTTGACTATTTAAAGTAAGCTTATTTATACCATTTTTTCACTACTATTAATACAGAAAGTCTGTGGCTTATGAAACATTGCCTAATGTTCGAATGCTTAAACTCGAATAGTCAACATTAATTAAATAGCCTTGCGAAACAAAAAAATATTGCCATGAACTGTCTATACTCCCTGCGTACTGCCAACTACACCTCACAGCGGAATTCTGTCACACTTTGATTGAGTGCCTGAGTGAGAGGTTCTTTAATAATTTTTTAACGAAATTTCTTTGTAATGCGACAGTCATTTATCTGGAGAAAGGACTCAGGTTCAGCTACAATTCAAATCTTTTTTATTTCAGCAACCAAGAAAAATATGTACAAATTAATCCATAGCCTCAGGACACACACGTTTTAAAGGTTTTTGTAATTTGCGTAGAATAAAGGTATCATTATTGGTGAACGCGAATCCTTCTACACCATTTCTTTAAGTGATACGCGTACAATCTAAATGAACTTCTACGAGGAATTTTTGTTAACTACATTGCATTGAAAAAGTGAGAGCAGGAAATGGACATATTGTACTTCATTGGAAGAAGTCTACATCATTCCAAGAGATAAATAGTCGGCAATCTACGGAATTCTGACGTGAAGAAAATTGCCCTTTACAAGCGGCAAAAGCACGACGTTTTCGGGACGACATATAACGCATTCGCTTCCTACTATACCAGTCTCGAGTCGTACCCATTGTGTCACTTTTTTCTGTTCTAGACCACAAAAGTATGTAGACGAAATATTGTCACCAGCCTTATACGTAATTTTTGCGTAAGAAACTTCTTTCATTCTTTAATAATATATTTCGATAATAAGTATTTCCTATTAAATATTTGCCATTTTTTAAACAGAGTAATACGAATATTGAAAAAACCACGCTTCTAAAAGAAAATCAAATATGGTAAATTAGGTAAAACGATATCTCACTGAGGCGGATGTAAAACGGAAAATTAAACGAATCACAACATAGAGTATTATTAATAAATTAACATAAATTTGAAATACGCGGCTCAAAACCTCTTTGGCTCAGACGTAGACCTATTTAACAATTTCGATCAACGTCGCTGCCCTAATTATACCTATTGTCACTCGGATAATCAAATCTAAATCATGGGCATTCATTTTTATTACCCACCAAACGCTCACAACCAAAGTAATGGAAATCATCTGCACACGATAATTAACAGTCCTTACCGTATTAAATCGCTAGAGTTGATTCTTACTTCCATTGAAAGTCACAATGATAGGGTCGGTATCTTCATCATTCAAATACTGTGTTGTTGCACCTACAACAACATTTAACTAGAAATCTATAGGGCAGGAAAATAATAATAAGCGTTGAAAAAACCGTTTTTTGAGCTCTCGTCTCAAAGAAGTATATAGTTATTTCGCCCAAAGTACTTTCAGTTCTAATCAGTAGTTTCTTTAACGACGATTTGCCGGAGTTCTATTGCATGGCGGCGAACATTTCTTGTAATGAAATATTGCCAAGAACGTTATTCTAACTATATAATTAATTAATTAATGGTAAAAGAGTGTACGTGCAGGAGGGGTAGGCGAAAGTGTGCACTGAAAGAACAATACAAAAGAATTGCGGGCGTCAGAGCCTCCGGCAGCAGGTTTCTCCCCCGTGGGCGCGTTCAACCGTCTCCACAGCACGCAGGTGTTAATCATTTTCACGGGAAGGGGTGTAATATCGGAAAGCCCTTAAAAAGAGAGCCCGTGCATCAGCTTTGTGTAAGAACTTCATCCCCTTCGGAAGCAACCAATCAATATGCTCACCCTGTCGAGATAAATCTCTGCTTGGGACGCTACCTAACGAGTCAATTGGGTCTAACGCTACAATCATCAAGAGAGAAAGAAGTACATTGTAACGAAACTGTGCGATAAAAATACAGCGACACAAAATGACATCGGGGTGAACCGCGTAAGGGAGGATTTCTGCTACATTTTTTAGCTAACTAATATTTTTTAGCAACTTCTTCAAATAAAATACAATAAAAATCTATCACTATTATATAAAATGTAACTATCATTACATGTGTCGTGCGTGTATAAATATACAGGTGAACCAATTAAGTCATAACACCCCTTTTATCTCCTCATTCGTGAAAGATACGAAGATACTGTTTGGACAGTCCGTAACATAGAT